AACTTTCATTTTTTACTTAAATATCCATACATCACTTTAAAAATGTCATTAACTTTTTCCTAAAAATAGTATAATCTTAATTTTCCATTCCCACAAAATCTTTTATTTTGCAAGTAACTCATAGATTTTTAAAATAAGCATTAGCTAAATTCTAAAAGAAACAAAATTAGTTATTTAGTAATTATTTTTATTTGGTATGTATGAAATCTCAATAGTCCTTTAGATATAAAACAGTTGTTTAAATTAAATATATTCTGGGATTAATATTTAATTATATCAGATAATTGTTCTATTTCATAAGAAAATTATATTGCCTCTATACATATGCTAATGAAATAAAATTAGGTTTTCTAAATATAAAACATTTCAAAATATTAATAAAAACTATATTTAGGTGCACCTGGGTGGTTCAGTGGTTGAGCATCTGCCTTTGGCTCAGGGCGTTATCCCAGAGTAATGGGATTAAATCCCACATCAGACGACTGGCAGGGAATCTGCTTCTCCTTCTCTCTATGTCTCTGCCTCTCTCTCTCTCTGTTTCATGAATAAGTAAAATCTTTAAAAAATCATATTTAAATATATTGACTTTATCCTTATGAACTATTTTGATATAATTGTTTAAACAAATAATTTTTTGCTAACAGAGTTTTATCACACATGGACTCAAAATATGTTCATCCCAAAAATAATTTACAGATAATGTGATCCAACCTCTTCATCTAACAGGTGAAAAAAGTGACATTCAGAAAGGTCATGAGAAATTTACAGATAGAAGCCAGATGTTTTGACTTCCTGTCAAATACATTTTCTGTTATACATATTGCACCTTCATGAATCACCAATTTTCATCAAAATGAAATGCCATGAAGGGCCAATATTTAAATACCTAACCATTCTGTTATATTTGATTGATGTTTTAGGTGGCACATAAACATTTTGTAACATCCCTTGGTCATTATTCTAAATATTAGTATATGTGTGTGTGCAATTCTATAGATAAATTGTTGTTTGGCAACACTTTGGAATGCTAGTATAATAATAGTTTACTTCACCAAGACAATTACAACTTTTTCTCTCTTGCTTTACAGTTTACCACGCTTTATAGTTTATAGCATTTATCATATTTTACCTTATTTTTGACTGATTTTTAGATTTCTCGCAGGAACATTATATAGTTGCCTTCAAAGTGGTGACTTGTCTTACTTCCCTTGCTTGAAAGGTTCATCTTTATATAGCCAATTGCCCCCTTCTCTTATATAGATCATAGGACTAGAATAGTAATTCTTCTATTGTATAACATATATTCCTGTTAAAGAATGTCTTTGTTTAGCATGACGAAGATAACAATAACCTTTCTCAGGGAATTATTATGAGGATCATATGAAATCGTGGTTATAAAGAGTAAAGTATCACTTGGTCTGAAAAGATAACAACATTCAATGCCCCTCTGTCACTGGACCTAATAAAGACGAACCAGAGCTGTATGAGGAAATATGTAAGATTCTGTTGGCCTGAAGAGTAGCCAGTGATGAAATCCTCAAACGCATCTCATTTAGGTCACAACATATACAGTTTTTTCATTTAGTAATTCAAGTTTGCATCCCAAATTAAAATCCTCCACACAATGAAACACAGTTATCACTTGACGAAAAAGAAGTCCAGAAACTTTTCAGTGATCTTCACCACTGTCTAAGGAATTTGTCTGTGGGCACCCATTAAATTTTTGACCATGGAATGTTTTCCATCTGGTGACCTTCAGCATCCTGCACATCACCAAAGGAATGCCCATGACTTATATAATTAAAGCAGATGTCTACTGAAATTTTGAATTTATGTATCAACAGGTATCTCAGTATAAGAAAATATATATAAGAGTACTATAATCTTGAAGAAAGATTGCCTAAATTTATAAAGGGAAATAACTTTTTTTTGAAACAGCATTGTTGTACTTTAAACAGAAAGTCAGTTATTATTCCTTAATTTCTATTTCTATTTCCTTTCTAAAGACTCACCAACACCTGCTAGGATGTCAGACTCTTAAAGAAAGCTCGAAAAGCAGAGTTCTTTTATGATTACTATTATTATTAGCTATTTTGTTTCTGAAATTGGAGAAAAATCGAAGAATATACAAGCACCAATTAAAGAGACTGCTAAAACCCACAAAGCTAAAATACTTAGTATAAAATTTAAATATTTATATGCTACAAGATTCTTTTGAATAATAATTATCACAACCTTGAGTGCAGTGCTAATGTATCTAAAATTGTTTTCATTGCCAGAACATGCTACAGGGAATGTGTGAGAAAAAAAATAAATAAACAGGCATTAGCTCTAGAATCCCTAGTCAAATAATAAAGGGAAATCAGTCACCCTTCTAATTTCCAATGCTTCACAAATTATAAAATATAAAACCAAATATATCAATGAAATACACGTTTGTTTTGTATACCATATCTGTTTTAGGACTATATATGCATGTTTGTGTATACATGTCCACATGTGTACTTGTGTGTCTCCATGGGGGAATTTGGCACATGTATGTTTGCTAAGACTACTTATGTAATATATTTTTAAGGACATTTGTGATGGCTCTATTTGGAGCCTAATTATGTTAGTTAAAGCCACTACATAATATGTAGTTAACAGGGTAGGTACCTGCCCATATCTTCTTTACTGGGTAGCAGGGCCCAACTCTCAGCTGCAGTGGGTGATGGCTGACAGTAGCTCAGTGCTGCACTCTTACACTGAGATATGGTTTGGGCTAAATTGATTCACCTAAAGCAACCAGAAATATCTTGGTTTTTTGCTCCCCCTGAGCATGTATAAAGCCAAAGACTAGCAGATAGGAGGCATAGAAAGCTAGCCACCGTCCCTCAAGGTCTGACAACTTTGGATTGCCATTCATTCTCCTCCCTGTTGGGTCAGATTGAAACTAGGGATCCACAGAAAGCAAATCTTTAGCTTTTTTTCTGCATAATCCTGCATCCCTCACACCCTGTTTTACTGACAGTTCCATCACTGTATCATTTTCCCAATAATCCTTCTTTTACTCTCTGCTTCTAGGGAAACTAAACCTGGAAGCAATTCAGCTACCACTGTGTGCAATGTGATTATGGCCAAAATCAGATGTTTTGAGAAGTCAATGCTTGCAAAAAATTTTTTTAGTTATTACTTAATGGACTAAAGAAGCCCTAAATAACCTCATGATTACAGAAAGCTTATGAGAATATTCCCCATAGATCTCTCATGTTTATGCAAACCTTGAATTCACTTTTATTGAGGAATATCCTTAATTATTATTAATATTCTATTTTTTAGAACAGTTTTAGGTTCACAGCTGAATTGAAAAGATACAGAGATTTCCCATATACCCCCTACCCTGAAACATGCACAGCTTCCCCCATTATTAACACTCTTCACTGGAATCATACATACATACAATACAGAGCCTTTTTAGATTGGCTTCTTTCACTTAATAATGTGCATTTAAGATTCCTCCATGTTTTTTATGGCTTGATAGCTAATTTCATTTTGTGCTAAATAATGTCCCATTTTCTAGATGTATCACAGTATATTTCTCCATTTGCTTACTAAAGGACATCTTGGTTGCTTCCTCAGTTTGGCAATTATGAATAAAGCTGTGATACATATCCATGCAGAAGATTGTGTGGACATACATTTTTCAAATACTTTGGGAGATAACAAGGAGCATGATTACTGTATCATACAGTAAGAATATGTTTTTTTTAAGAAGTTGCCAAATTATCTTCCAGAGTCACTGTACCATGGTGCATTCACACTAGCAATAAATGAGAGTTCCTGCTATTCCATATCCTTGTCACCATTTGATGTGGTCATTTAATATGTATTTAGTGGTATTTCATCATTGATATCATTTGCATTTTTTGATGACATATCATGCAAAGCATCTTTCATGTGCTCACTTGCCAGCTGTATATCTTTTTATGTGAGGTGTCCATGAAGGTCCTCCTCCTAGTTTTTGTTTGTTTTCTTATTGTGAAGTTTTAACTGTTCTTTTGTTAATGTTTTGGATATTAGTCTATCTGGTTGTAGAATGTCTTTTCCCAGTCTGTGGCTTGTCTTCTTATTCTCTTGGCATCATCTTTCACAGACGTTTTTAATTTTAATGACATCCATTTTATCATTACTTCTTTCATGAATCATGCCTTATGCCAAAAATGTCAGGACTTGGGATGCCTGGGTGGCTCAGTGGTTGAGCATCTGTCTTTCTTGGGTCAGGGCATGATCCCAGGGTTCCAGGATCAAGTCCCACACTGGGCTCCCTCTGAAGAGCCTGCTTATCCCTCTGCCTCTCTCTCTGTCTCTCAAGAATAAATAAATACAATATTTAAAACAAACAAAAAACAAAAATGTCAGGTTCATGCTCAAGGTCATCCAGGTTTTCATCTGTTATCTTTTAGGATTTTTGTAGTTTTTTTATTTTACATTTACGTATCTAATTTTTAAAAATATTTATTTATTTATTTATTTATTATTTATTTGAGGGGAGCAGGGGCAGAGGAAGAGGGAGGAAGAGAATCCTAAGCAGACTCCCCACTGAGTCACACTGAGTGTGGATCCTGATACAGAACTCAATCTCTAAGGTCTGAGATCATGATCCTGACATCATGACCCAAGCAAAAGTCAAGCATCAGATGTTTAACGGTCTGAGCCACCCAAGTGCCCCAGTCTGTAATTCGTTTTGATATTTTTTGTGACTAGTAAAAGTTTTGTACCTAGATATGTCTCTATGTTTTTTTTTTTAAATATATTTTTTTAATTTTTATTTATTTATGATAGTCACACAGAATGAGAGAGAGAGAGGCAGAGACACAGGCAGAAGGAGAAGTAGGCTCCATGCACCGGGAGCCCGACGTGGGATTCGATCCCGGGTCTCCAGGATCGCGCCCCGGGCCAAAGACAGGCGCCAAACCGCTGCGCCACCCAGGGATCCCGTCTCTATGTTTTTATATATGTGGATGTCCAGCTGTTCTAGCACCATTCTTGAAGAGACTATCTTTATATTGCCTTTGTTCCTTTGTCAAAGATCAGTCAACTATATTTAGTAAGTCTATTTCTGAGCTTTCCATTCTGTTTCATTGATCTATTAATCTGTTCTTTTGTTAATACCACATTTTCTTAATTACTATAGCCTATGTTGAATCTTGAACTTGGGTAGTTTCTGTCCTTCAATTTTGCTCTTCTCCTTAGTGTTGTGTTGCCTATTTTGGATTTTTTTCCCCTCTTCATTTAAACTTGAAAATTAGTTTGCTACTATCTACAAATAACTTGCTGAGAGCTTTATTAGGATTGCATTGAATCTATAGATCAAATTAGGAAGACCTGACATCTTGACAATACTGACTGTCCCTGTCCATGATGTGGACTATCTCTCCTTTTATTTAGCATTTTGACTTCATTCCTTAGAATTTTTTAGTTTTGTTGAAATAGATCTTATACATTTTTTGTTAGACTTATACCTGAGTATTTAATTTTTGGATCCTAATGGGAGTGTTTTCAATTCCAAATTCCACTTGTTCATTACTGCTATCTAGAAAAGTGGATAATATATATCTTGTATCCTTTAACTTTGCTATAATCTGTTGATTATTTGTTGATACTTTGATACTTTTGGCTTATTTACATAGATGATCATGTCATATGTGATCAAAGACATTTCTATACATTCCTTCCATGTATGTATACCTTTTACTTTCTTTTCTTGTCTTGTTCTATTAACTAAATCTTTGTGTACAATATTGAAAAGGACTGTATGTGTGTGGAGTGGTGGTGCCTGGATGGCTCAGTAAGTTAAATGTCTGCCTTCAGGCTCAAGTCATGATCTCAGGGTACTGGGATCAAGCCCCACATAGAGCTCTCTGCTCAGCAACGAGTCTGCTTCTTCCTCTCACTCTCCTTCTGTGCTCTCTCTCTTTCTCTCTCTCTCTCAAATAAATAAATAAAAAGAAAAAGAAAGAAGAAAGAAAAGAAAGAAGAAAAAGAAAGAAAGAAAGAAAAAGAAAGAAAGAAAGAAAGAAAGAAAGAAGAAAGAAAGAAAGAAAGAAAGAAAGAAAGAAAGAAAGAAGAAAGAAAGAAAGAAAGAGAAGAAAGAAAGAAAGAAAGAAAGAAAGAAAGAAAGAAAGAAAGAAAGAAAGAAAGAAAGAAAGAAAGAGAGATGGGAGGGGACATTTTTTGCTTTGTACCTGATATTGGTGGGAAAGTTTTGAGTTTATCACCATTAAATATGTTAGCTGTAGGCTTTTTGTTGATACTCATTATCAAACTGAAAATTTCCCCTTTATTCCTAGTTTAATGAATTTTTATCACAAATGGGTGTTTGATAATGTTTAATGCTTTTTATGCATCTATTGATATGACCATTGGATCTTTATTTTTTTTAGCCTATTTATGTGATAGATTGCCTTAATTGATTTTCAAATGTTGAAGTAGCCATTTGTGCCTGAGATAAATTCCGCTGGTTGTGGTATATAATTCTTACACATTGTTGGACTCTATTTGCTAATATTTTGTTGGAAATTTTTGTATCTATGTTCACAAGAGATTAACAGTCTGTAGTTTTCTTATAAAATCCTTTCTAGTTATAGCATTAGAATAATTCTGATCTCGCAGGATGAGTTAGGAGGCATTCTCTCTCTTCTATTCTCTGAATGAGGTTGTAGAGAATGAGTATAACATCTTCTTTAAGTGATATAATTTCTAGTGAACCCATCTGGGCCTACCACTTTCTGTTTTGGAAGGTTATTGGTTCTGGACTGTCTTTTCTAGGAGTTTTGTATAGTAAATAACTTTTGAAGTTTTGGGGAGTTGGTGACTCCCTCCAGGGCAGAGTACTGATTTGTTTACTGTCCAGTATAATTAATATAATATCTCCATCTGGGGTAAAACTAATTTACATTCCCTGAGTTTAGGGTTTCTTTACCTGTGATGCAAACTCTCTGCATGTGCAGATGCATTATTCTCTAGGACTCATGGTGCTGCCCTTCTGTAAGTAATAAAATCCTACATCTCTGGCCAGGTAGTCTTCTTTATTTGGCTTATTTCCTATAAGATACTTACAGGGAATACTCTCCTATGTTTTGGATAATATTAAACTTCTTTAGAACCTCCTCAGACCAGGAGGTAACTAAACAATCAAATAAGGTAAAATATTAGATCTTTTATAGTTCTTTACAAGAAGTAGCCCCAGAAATACAAATATATGTTATCTAACAAGAATGAAGTCACAGAGATCTCAGAGATTATGCTAACACCACATCCACAGACACAGATTTAATAAAAAGGTAATCTAGAATGAATACTGTATCTTAAGATGTCATTGCAAATTTGATGATCAGAATCAGATTCTGTTGTTTAATGGGATCTTCCAACAGGGATGAGATCCATCACAGATTTTATTTAAAAGTTATATAAAAAGGAATTTCAAATTTGTTAATAATGTATATGCAGAAATATTCAGCTTGGGTTAAAAATTCTTGTTTGACATCTTGAACTCTAGATACTATTAATCCTCATTTCTGCAGGATATGGAATAATCAAGACTCTAAATCACATGAATTGAGACTTTGCTTTTTATACATTTTTTAGAAGTATGTTGGCCAAGCTGGTAATTATACAATACATTAGATTCTATCTGCATTAGATTCTACCTACATTTTTCACTGACTTCTATTCCTCATTTGAATTTGAAGGGTTTTATTTTATTTTGCTTTGTTTTGTTTTGTTTCTTGACAGCTGGGACAACTATGTTTTTTTTTTTTAAGACACAAATAAGTCTTAGAACAGTTTTTTAAAACATTTAATAGCTTTTCATTAAAATCAGATAAAACATGAATGAGAGCAGAATATTTTAACTTTTATCTGTTGTTGGTCAGGAGGTTAAGCAGAGTTTTCTCACAGATGATTTTAAGTCAAGATTTAATCATTCTGTTTTCCTAATATTTAGAAACTGCAAGGATCTTAGAGGAAAACTGACTCAAGACATGTGAACTCCTTGAAGAGTTTACCTCCAAGGATTATTCCCAAAGCAACCTGAGGCAATGTATTCATTCATACTTACTGTGTGTAATGGAAAGAAATTATGTTAAAACAAATCTAAGGTCATGTTTAACTGTAGCATTCTGTGATGAATCCAAGACCTTAATTGCCAATTATAACATTGTTTTAATAAAGAATTGTAATGCATTTACAGCTAATTTTGGAATTAATATAGGTAAATTTTGATAGTATTACATGTAAAATAAATCTAATATAGTTGGTAATATGAATGTATGTGCTGTGCATGATTGAAGATTTAGAAATTAAAATAGAAATGGCATTTGAATGATGACCAAATATACACCTGAAGACAAACAATAGAAAAGGATCCCAGACAGAATTTACATAAGCATAAGTGTATGGAAGTCTAGAATGTCTAGGAACTACAAGTAGTTTAGTATTACTGAAACATAAAGTTTGAGTTAGAAGAGAGCTGAGAAGGACTTTAACGTACTGGCAGAGATCATGAACATTCAATGAAAAATAGTTTAATTTTAATTCTGTCAGGAATATATAGCCATTGAAGATTTTGAGGAGGTTAGAGATATACTTCTCACTTTCAATCCTTGCTAGCCAAAGGTAGCATAGGAAACAAGGTAGGAAGTAAGAGAGTAGGAAGGAGGAATGGTCCTCTAGATTACAGAATGATACCAGTTGAGTATAACATGAAGAGCATAGACTACAATCATTCCCATCAGTTAACCTCCCAGACTCTTACTATAGGAGGATTTTGGACACAATCTCACAGCATGTGATCGATCCAGGGTACTGTTTTCTACAGATTTAACAGTCTTTAAATCATTTGCTAAAGAACACTGTGATAGATAATATCTAAGACTGAGGCTCTCATTTTATAACAGAATATAACCAATACCAACCCTTTAAATGCTATATTAAGAATTTTAAAGGCTCTGCTTCAGATGGCAGGCTCTGGGGAAGACATAGGTAGCAAGAAGCAGCCCCTGAAGCAGCCCAAGGAGATAGACAAGATAAGGAATTCAAGCAGAAAGGGGAGAAGAGTAGAAGCAGAGGAGAAAGAAAAGCAGGAGAAACTGGAGGAACTAAAAGCAAAGGTCATGGGGAAGAGCCCTCTGGTCACAGGTGGAATTAAGAAATCTGGCAAGAAGTAAGCTATTCCTTATGCTTGAGGAAATGGTGGTCCTTAATTCCATTCTTGTTTAAACATTTGGATTCCCTGTCACAGCATCTGTTGCCATCTATAGCTAGAATGCAGTGTTATCTTAGATCATGTTGTAAACTTTTGTAAAACGAAACAAAACAAAAAGACAATCAATCATTGAAATAAAGATTTTTATAAATCTGTAACATTTGATGATATTGTGCTCATTTGTAAATATTCCTTACAAGTTCTGTCTTGCTAATAATAACCCAAATACAGATTATATATAGATTATAAATATAATTTAAACTATTCCAGTGAAAGGGATAAGTTAAGCATTTTTGTTAATCCTGTATCCTATCTCTGTTTGCATTCTGATTCAAAAACTTGAAGGGCAGGCTAGATTATATTATTTAAAATGGTGTTAATAAAGCATATCCAGTTGTAGGGCAGTAGTAGTAGGAAGTATGAAATCCCAGTTTCCAACTCACACTCAATGAGTCAGTAACTCCTGGGGAAGAGTCTTAAAAGCAGAATTACAACTATAATTTCTATTAAGTCTTAAGAACAGAGATATTTGAAAACCACTTGCATTATCTCATTCATCATTGGCAAAGGGTACAGTGTGACACTGTTGTATGTCAAAGAAGTTAATGAATAACATTTCCTTAAGTTCTTTGCTTGTAATTCAAAAGAGAGTAAATAATGGAAGTAAGAATAGTCATAAAAACAAAGAGAAGGATATGTATGTGGTTTGAGTGAGGTATGGGGGACAAAGATGTAATGGTGAATGGTAGATTGGGCAATTACCTGTCCCCAGTCCCAAGTAGGTAACAATGACATTTTTTTCTGAAGGAAAGTATCGATCTAGGTTATGGATGGCAGTAATAAATATCACTCAGTAAAGAAGCAATCGCTAAAGGCATCTTTTATTTCCCTTGCTCAGTTGACATAATCTACTAAAAACCAAGAACCAGTTGTTCAGCCCCTCAATAATTTTGTAGTCAAGGTCATATTTTTCCAGGGTATTTAATGTGATGGTTTACAGGACAGAAACAGAAGCCTTTCTAAACTTGAGATATATTAACGTGTGCTGCACTGTTTGATCGCTTCTATCTGTCACTGCATCTTAAGGAAAAGAGATGATCTTGACAGTATTTCTTCTTTTAAATTCTGGCTGAGTGTGACCCAGTAACATGTCAATGCAATTTGTCTTGAACCACTTACTGTATATTTCTAAAGAGAAAGAGAAAGATGCGGATCATGCTCTGCAGGTGATCTTTTGTTATACTTATACTTCTTGATCTTATAAATAATTACTATGAGTCCCCACCTCAAGAGACTTAAAATAATAATTTTTAGGATTGTTGGGGTTTTTTGTTAAATAAGTTTGTTTAATTCTTGATGTTCATATTTATTTTGTTCATATTATACAGAATATAATAATTTCTAAAATTTTGTCTAGCTTTAGGGTAGAATTGCTTTAGCAAGCACTGTAAAAAAACACAGAATTATGAGAGATCTCTCTTTCAAATTACATTTTGACATGAAAAAGAGGAAGGAAGAGCAGAACCTATTTGAAAGAGAATGGTGTGATAACAGATTTATATAAAGACTCCTCATTGATGGAGATGACTGAAAATTTTAATAAACTGGTAATTGGTAGAAGTGTGTTAGTAGGTGTTTTGCATCTATCATCTGTCCAGCAGAGAGAAGATAAACCAAAGCAGATGGAGAGCCAGGATCTGTGAAAAATGCCTGGAGTAATCTGTAGGTGATACTTAATAAAAGTAATATTTAGAGAAAGAGAAGTCAAGGCTTTTAATTGATAGCAATATTCAGTATAAGCCATAAATTTTTCTTTCTTTGAAAATTTGCTCTAAAAGATTTTGAATTTTAGCTTCTTGTACAGAGCAAATCAAATTAGTCTGTACTGTTTTGATTCTAAAGAGTTAATTCATTTTACAAATAGTACCACAACCCTGCCTGAATCAAGCTACCTTTATCACCAACCAGGCGACAGTCCCCAGAGGTGGAGTGAAGCATTTGAGAATTTTAAAGCCTGACTATTGCTATCTTTGAACCACAGACATTATTAGAGATGGAAATATTATGCCTATCCACTCGTCCTCAAGGTTATTTGTATTTCTGTGTTAATGTGTTGTCTACTGATGTTGTAATTATCACCTTTCGGCTTAATAAAAATGCAACCTTGTTTTCAGTTAAATCCTATCATTTTTCTCCCCTTTCTAAAATCAGGCAAAATGTTTCAGTTTGATCAGGTCCCTGGGTGTTAAAAAGAGCTAAGTTTAACAAAATAAAATTAAATTTCAGAAACAACTCTGAAGCTAATCATGCTGGGTTAATCCTCACCTCATCACAGATATCAACAATTACAAGAAAAGAAGGTGAAAGAAAACTGTTTAACTGTTTTGTGTGTCTATGTATGCATGCACCTTTATTTAAGACTTAAAGGATGGAAGTGGGTAATGTGGTTTACTATATTCCACTGCTACTATCATCCCTCTTTTGTAATGATCTGAAATGTCTTATCCTCGCTGGATGTGTGTATACAACTATGGGTTTTGTTCTTATTATTTTTGTTTTACTTTTTAAAAATTATTTGTCTATATGTTCAGTGCAAAAGTAAGCAGGAAAATAATGGGTATGTCACAAGTTATAACTATATCAGCATATTAACAAGTATATAACTACAGAATCATAATTGATTTGTGAGTTTTCTTAGCTACTGATGCAGGTTCAACATGCACTCCACCTGGCCCTCCAAGATACCCCTCCCCCCTCCTCCAATTTACCAGGCCACCTCATTTTCAGGTGCAGTGAAAGTTACCATCACTTTCAGGAATTTGTGGACTGACCTAGAATAGATAGCATCTTACTGGGACAACTGCTTTTGCACAGGGCTATTTCTTGTCTCAGAGCTAAGAGTGTTTACTCTTTTTTTTTTTAAAACAGGTGATTGACACAAATTTTAGGAAGCCTAATGGCTTGATTTTTCCCTTATGACCAAATCTTGCAACATTTGGGCCATATCTTTGTACTTTTTCCCTTGAGTAATTCTGATTCTTTGCTGTAAACATGGTTCCTCAACCAGATCTTTAGATTGTCATCCTCATTATATTTCCCAACCTGAATTTGTCATTATATTCCCTTCCCTTTAGGGTCCTTGCAAGTTTTAAAAAGCCAAAAAAAAACTATACAAAATGGAACAACAATATAAAAACACATTAACTACCATCTCATCTTAAGCAGCTGGGTTTTTGGGTTTTTTGGTATGATTTCTAAATGCATAATTACAATGGAGTACATACAGCTATATTTTCCTTCAGTATGCTGTATAACTACAGATTCCTTCAGCCTTTATAATAGTTTAATACTTACACATATTATCCCTTCATTATTCATTGTTTCCAAACTTCAATATTATACATGCTTTGCAATAAAAAACTTCATACTTATAGCTTTTTTATTATGCCGAATGCTTTTCTTAAGGCAAATCTCAATTGTGTATCAAAGTTGTGGCAATTTTTTCAATGTCTGATAGGTATAACAATCCTTTCCTTTGTATTTAAACATTCATAAACATTGTAAAAAATTATATAGTATAGCAAGTTCCTTACAAAAAAAAAAAAGCATTGCCAACTCCAGTCTCATTTCTAGGAAGTAATAATTTTTAAACATTGTGCTTTAAAAAATATAGTAGTTTCTTCTATTTAACTAAATATTGATGATGCTAATTTTTAATTTACTACTTACTATTGTATATAATTGATGAATTGTTTGCTAACAAAATGAGGATTTTTTGATACATTCCTCATCTGTCCTTCCAATATTGTCATTCATCTAATTTCATTAAGTTTTAATTTATTTATAATTAAATAAATTTATATTTCTTATTTCATCCACTTTACACTATGCTTCATGGACTCCCACTACATACAGTAAATGTATGAAACACTCTGCCTCTCTCTTCCCTCCATTTTTTTTCTTTCTTTGTTCCCTCTCTTGAATTCTGTCAAATTTATATTATCAAGTCGACAATATTTTAAGGTTAGCATAAAAGCCATTATAATATCAGTTGTAGTCAAGCTTTTTATTTTATTCTAATAATTGATAAATAATTAGCAAATATTTATTAAAATATTTATGTGTATATTTTCATTGTAAAACCCCATAATATACTAGGATTGCATGTTTTTCCATGAATTAATGTGACTTGATCTGTGCTACTCTAAAAAATTAAGTTTACTTTTTACCTATAACCTGTTGTTGAAAAGCACAATTTAGTATATTTGAATGTACTCATATAAATATACATATGTATGTGTATACATGTGTATACATGTATGTATACACACATACACACATATATACATATGCACACATATATGTGTGTATACATATCTATTTGTAGGTTGTGTGCTTACTTCATTGTATTCTAGAATTTATGTTTGCACATTTTTATCATTGTTGAGAGTGAAATTGTATTACTATTGTCCTAAATACTTCCACTTTTGCTTATTCTATCTAATGATTTAGTCCATCCCACTTTAGAAAAAGTGCTATGCCTACAATTTCTTTCTTAAGATTCTTCAGAGACATCATCTGAAATTTAAGGCTAACTGTGAAAGCCAAATAGTCTCTTGGGAGCATATAAAGAGCTTTTAATTCCCTATTGCTGGAGGACGGTAAAAGATAAGGATTAGGACCAGGATTTAATTATAAGGGTAATAGAACTACTTAGAATGTCAAATTTTCAAACCTTATAATACTACTACTCCAAGATCACAGCTGTGATTTTGAAGGAGTAAGACAGAGACTTGGCAAACAGGTACTCTTAAATCATACACAGGAAAATATTGAATTTCCAGATTTCTTGGAATCTCTTGGGCCCTCAGAAGTATCTTTTGCTCTCCTTTTAAAGTTTAGTGCTGTCTTTATTGAAAATGATTCAAAGACCTCTCAAGATAACATTGACTCCACTCAGTA